GAGGTGCTGCGGCCGCGACTGCTGCTGCTCAAAATGGCGGCGAACTGAACGGCCTCGCCGCCGCCTTTGTCCGCCCCTAATATAGTTTCCCCGCCCCCGGAAACCGCCCCCTCCTCCCCGCTAGCCATCCACCGGCCTCGGCGGCGATGAGCTATAGGCGGAGCCACCAATAGCATGTCCCCATCCCGCTAACTCTTTGAGCTCATTGGCAAGGGCCCTGCCCTCTGCCGATTGGCTCATTTGACCGCCGACGTTGGCACGGGATGATCCGTTAACCTCCTGCGTGCTGATTGGGCAGTTTGATCGGCGGGAGGCGAAATCCCGACAGAAGCCCGGCTTGCGATTGGCTGCCTGAGCAGTCAGTCGAGCGGGAGTCCGCCGGCCGGCAGCCGGCCTTTCGGCACCCAGGCTGAGCGGCCATCGGCTTCAGCTGGAAAAATTTCAAATAAATCTATTTTCTGATAAATATGGCTGGCTGCTTTTAGCACGGCCGGCAGCTCTTCGCTTCTACTCTGAAGTAAAATATTAAAAATTTCCCATTTGTTCACTGAAGGGTGGCAGTGGAGGCCCAGCCCCGGCGTGGGAGGCCACTCTGGCTCCATTTCGTTTGAAAAGCCGGACAGGGAAGGCCAGCAACGAGCTTCCCCCCCCGAGAGCAGCCATCCACAGGGGATAACGGCTCCGTCTCCTTGCCTGACGAGAAAGTGCACGTCGGTCCCCCAAAATGTAAAACAGTGTCCTCCCGGTAGAAAAATAAAGCAGCTGTAAAAATGCATAGCGCTTATGGTCACTATATGCCACATTCTAACACAGAAAACGGGCCAAAAGTCCGTTTCCATCTATTTCATGTCACTGGTTTCAGTGCTCTGGAAACGTGCTACCATCGGAACAACGTGAACATTTTTGTGCTTCATGAGGGGTTTCAATCCACCATGCTCCCAAGCTCCCACCGATGTTTCACATTCCGTTTTCGGGTCTGAAGATCCAAACCCCACGTGAAACCCAAGCGAAAGCCACGTTTGTTTTATTTGCACAGACACTGTAACTGTTGCGTTGGTATGATAAAGTATTATCAGTCAATCTCACAAATATTTGCGAATCCCTGAGCAGTCAATGGCTGACTTCATTCTTAAATTTAATTTCCCTGTGGCTTTACATTTTTAAAATAAAAATCTGCTATAGGTGGATCTTTTCCCCAAATCAGTGTTGTACTGGCTGTAAGACTTCAACCACTTCCAAGTGCAGGAGAATGGAAGCCCCGAGATGTTTTGAAATGGATGTCAGCCCCTCTCTGCGAGCAGTAAATGTTTCCACCACGAGGTGTCTCAGAGGTTAAAGCGCTGGAAGAAGAAATTTGGGACTGAGTCCTACTGCACACAAACAACTGGCACTGCCTCCCTGTCACACCTGGTTATGGCTGTTCAGGAAGCAACAAAAAATATTGAGTGTAAAAGGGCTGTTTTCGCCTTTGTTGTGTCCTAAGTATAAGCGAACTGTACTTTAGGGAGCTATTAATTTTTAGCTGCCTTTGAAAGAAATAAAGAATGTAATTCTTCCAGTCCTGCAAAAATCTGTACAACTTAACCAAAGTATACAAAGTAGCTTTGAATTTCGATGTTATCTAGTAGAGCCAGGACATGATTCCATGTTTTGTAACTGCAATGTGAGTATTTATCCTGGGCTTGAAATCAAAGAAACATCAATGTTGCTATGAGGACTTGAAATAAAAATTACCTCTGGTAACAATCACCTATTCTGAAAATATTCACACTAGGCAGCTGCTGTTCTCAGACAAAAACAAACACCGAGGAAGAAAGCTTGAGATGTTCTCCCCAGTATGTTCCACTGTAAATAAACGTTGCGTCCGAGACAGGAAACTCCGTGACAACTGCAATAACATCGGAAGCAGCTCTGTAGTATTTCTCCATACCTCATACTGATCTGGTTATCGGGATGGTTAGTGCATAGAGACATTAGTTTAGTTTAACAGGGCCTGCTGGGAGAAGCAAAAAAAAGGAGGGAGAACCTCAAGACCCTTCCCTCTCCCCCCAAAATTAGTATCTACTTAAAAGATAACGCTGGTGTTACTACTTCTGAAGATTTTTCATACTGTACAACTGATCTACAAAAGTGAATTAAGCCATAGTAAAATGCAGTCCATGACTGAAGAGAGAAAAAGACCTGTAGAAGGCCTTAGAGGGATATTTGAAAGAAGGAATCCGGCTGATGCTGAGTGAAGTTATGAATGTCTCAGCTGCCATGGAGCGCAGGGTAATCTTCAGGTAAGAAAGGCATGAATCTCAGCAGGTGGTTGATTTAGATAATTTTTTCCTTAAACCATTTCCTCCTCCTATAAACATAAACAAAAGACTGACAAGAAGAAATCTGCATTATCTCTATATTATTAATTGCAGATTGCAGGAGGAAAGAGCGGCATGTGTCCAACCTGCTAATTAAGAATAATTACCCCATGAGGTTCTGTAAGTGTCCCATGTACAAACAGTAAAATTGCATGAATCACGGTAATGCGTACCACTGCTAAAGAAGCAATTAAACGTTGTGAGGAGATGCAGTGTCGGCATTCCCTGGGTATTTTTGACCTAGAGGGAAACAGTTAAATGGCCGTTTGCACAAATTCAAGTATGTAACAGAACTAGAGATGCTCGGGAATTTTAAAAATCAGGAAGCAAAAGGAGGAGTGGACAGGGAGATCAGAGCAGTGAGGCACCCCCAAGGTGCAGTCTAGTGTCCTTACCCTGCCGCAGGCTCTTCTAGTCCAGTCTGCGCTGCGCTGGGATAAACCTCTCTGCAAGAGGTTTCATTATTCTAGGGCTCACCACAGATTCAGGAATAACAGCGTCACCTTTTATAGAATAAAGAAGGAAGTAAAACGCCTACAGCAATATCTGGTACATAAAGCCAAGAGGCAGGGTGAAAGGAGTGGCTAATAGCTGCTCCCTCAGCAACTACCGTGTGGCACTTGGTGAGGAGAGTTCTCTCCCTTCTGCACTGTTTTCACGCCCTCCTTGAATACAGATTAAATCTGCTCTCCAAGAGGTTTTTCCTGTATAGCATGACAAATATGCCTGCAGGCCATTTTTTAAGCCAGATGAGCGAAAGCAATGCAGGGCCAGATATGAGATTACAGTGAGAGTCAAGCAAATGCAGAGATTGAGAGAAGGGAAGGAGGGGTTGATTGCACAGTAACACCATTGATTTCCGTGGATGTAATCTTGATTCCTAATGCAACAAAAGAGATCCAAATCAGACTCAAGAGTCTCAAAAAAGGTAATACTGGATCTGCAGAGAAGTCTGCTATCTGAACACTACTGACACCAGAAGTTCACAGTTCTGATGGAGACTGTTCCCTCAATCTGAGAAGTTAAAAGTTCAGGATTTTCCATTTCTAATTTCTCTGAACTAAATTAAGTTACTGAAATGTCTTGAGTAGTTTTGAGTCCTCTGTCAAAATCCAAACTAGCATCAAAGTCACGTAAAGAGAGAAACAAGCTCTTCTGTGAAAGAAACGTTCCACAGACCAGTAAGGAAGCTCAACAGGAAACTTCCCTGGTCTGTCCCCTATTTTTCCCTCTCCCTCCTCTCCCTACCCTTTCCATAATGGGCAAGGAAGGTCACAGGGGGAATCTCCAGCCTGTTTACAATTCCTTTGCACTGCTTAGCAGATCCACGAACACTGCTTTAGTCCTCAGTGTTTTTTCTGACAGTGCTTTGTGTTCTCGTGTTTATGAGGGGGGGCTTGGTTGGTGAGACTGGATGGGTAAGAGAAGCACTGGGCCTGGAAAAGGAACTGGTGGAATCGATGAAACCAAGAAGGAAACGTTATGCACTGCTATTATAACCCGAAAAGCACGATCATTCATACTCATGCAGTTCCCACTGCCACTGTATCTGACCATCTCATTAACATGTTCAACTTCATACCCCAGTTGAAAAACAGAACTCTGAGGTCGGGAAATCCCGTAACTTGTCCGGGGTCACACAATCCACAGAAAGGCAAGAAGAGGAATCCGGTGCCTCGAGAAGTGGAACAACCGGCCTTCCCCTCCCCTGGCTGCCTTTCTCCTCTCCCAGCGGTGGCTGTGTTCTGCCAGTGGGCAGAGCGATGCACACACTGTGCATGCCTGCTGAAGGCACACTCGAGCCTGCTGAGCCTGTCTTCCAAGAGGCTCTGAGAGCCCTCTGCTTCCAATGAAGTCAACTGGAGTTAAGGACGCTTACTGGCTTGCAGAAGCACTCGGCACAGTTGTACCACAAAGCCATCCATCTACACATTTCCTTGAGCTGTGGAGAGAAACAAGATACGCGTAACTGAACTTTAGCTGCTTCCATTTCTTCTATTAAGAGAATTTAAAATTTTGTCCCTGACAATAAATGTGACAAGAATGGGAGGTAGCTGTTAGAGAGAATCCTGTTCTTCAGTCTTACAGATGAGACAAGTGCTCAACAGAAAATGGATACAACAGCTCTAAAAAATACCAGCAGTTCTGAACTGCAGTTCTGGTTAATGTTTGGCTATGCGAAGAATGTAAGTGGGGCAGAAGAAGCGAGTACACTCACAATGCTGTATTTCATCAGACTGCCATGAATTTCTTAAAAATTTAAAGACTGGCAATGCCTTCTCTGTGTTTTTTTTTAAATCTGCCGTTGTTTCTAAAACATAAATTCTCACAAAATGGGAAACATTGGAAACATACAGGAGATAACCATAAGAAAATTAGAAAATAATTTTTCATAAGATGAAAATGGCAGTATTCAAATGAGCCGTTTTATTCTGCATTTGGAAAAAGTGATGTAGTCACAGCATGAAATTCAGGATGATGTTAAAAAGCTGCAACCAGAGTTTGTAAGTGGGCACTCCTGTGTAACTTAAAATAAAAAA